CCACAGCAAATACATAGTGGATTATGCTTTCCTGATTTAAACAGATGATTGAATATAAGTAGATAGATGATTGAATACAGCAGAATGGGGCTTATGCATACTTGATGGTATTGAGATTTACCCTTACATAAATTAACTTTCTTTCCACTTGTGGAAGAAATCAGGGTCTAGTAGTGGAAGAAATAGGTAGTGATTTTCTCTGATTCTCCTGAACTCCCCTCAGTTTGTTCCTAAAGTTGAGTTGGGGAGTTGGTACTGGGAACCGAAGGGGGAAAAGTATAAGAGAAAACTACCATAGGAATTCTACTGAGCACAAATCTGGATTCAGCCCATTCTAATGTGTCATGGATATTTCCCCTTGGATGGTCTTTTTTATCTGTGACCTTAATCTTGAATTATAGAACTATCTTCAAACTACAGAAATAAACCATTACGTAATACTTTCTCATTTCAGTTTTATTAGTTGTGATCCAAATAGTGTATTCTTATTTTGTGAATTTTTATCAGGTTTAAATGTTGAATTGTTAATGGTTGTTGGTTTTATGATTGTAAATATTGTTTTATTGGCTGTAGGCCGCCCAGAAGTGGTTTTAAGATGGGCAGTTATACTGTATAAATGTAGGTAGGTAGGTAGGTAGGAAGGCTTCTCCAGACAGACTGCTTCGTGGTTTTTATAGTGCTGTTTAACAACAAAGATGTAAACAGAGGGGGTAGAAAATTACCCCATCTGTTTATACCTTTTACATATAATGATTAGTATCTTTTGCTAGGATTCTTCTTAATGATTAAAAATCCACCCACAAATTCAGATGTGAGTGAATAGCTAGTAAGGCAGTGCATCAACAATTTGCCAATGTTAATGGGCCATATAAAAATACACATGTACACATATAACATACAGCATGTAAAAGACATCTTATTTAAAAATGACAGTTGTTTGGCCATTTAATTGCAGATAATATGTGAGAAATACAAAATTAGTTTATGGTCCTTAACTAAGAATAATTAGTCAATCATTGTCACATATTGTTGCTGCTCTCCTCAGAGATTGTCCTGTGAAGAGAAGAATAATCAAACTGTCATAATTACTGCCTCTTCAAGTGGTTTATGCTTTAATGACTTGCTAACTTGGCACGGGGCAAGTTATTTGCTGGACTGGCTCTCCCTGAGGGTATCTGCCCATTCTACCAAGTCAGATATGATGGGCATGCTCCAGATCTCTTCCCATTAATGTTGCCACCTAGCAGAACCTAGGAACTGTGACTTTTCCATGGCAGTCCCTACCCTGTGGTATACCTTTCTCTTGGGATCCAGCAGGACCCCACCCTCTTAGCCTTCCAGAAGGCCATAAGACCCGGGTCTTCCCCCAAGTGCAGTGTTAGGGTGAGGTTCAAGCTCAGAGATGGTTTTGCGGGATGTGTTGGGGAAGGTTGGTTGAGATGCCAGGTTTTGGTTCTAATGATTTTTGGCTTTTATTGTTGCTGTAAGCTGCCCAGAATTGTGTTTTTTAAGATGGGTGCCATATTAGTCAAATAACTACATAAATCACCTTGTATCAATCAATATAGGAAACTTTTTGTCTGAAGAGTGAGCTAAAAATATTAAAATATTAAAGTTAAATAAATTGGAGTTTTAATTGTACAAAGTTATAGCATGACTTTTATATAAGAACCTTGCACATCCCTGATGACAATAAATTGGTAAGATGTTTGTCTTGCCATAGGACTGCTAAACTAAGGAATAATATTGTTAAATATCTTAATACAGCCTGTTGATTTCTTGCTAAAAATACAGACTTGCTGTTCTAGATTAGATTTTAAATTATTAACAGATGTCTGTATTGGCTTTAACTTGTCTTTTTATTTTTTTTTAAATGTTACTGTTTGTTTGTTGTAATCCACCTTGATAGAACAAATCAAGCAGAAAGGCTGGAAACAAATTAGTATTAATATAAGTAATAGATGAAATGTTTAGTCTTCATTTCTGTTCCATAAATAGCAGATAAGTGCATTCTGCAGATAGCATTTAATCCACTGAATCATAGTTATACACTAAATTGTATCTCTGTAATTAAAACCGTCTTCTGTGTCCATTTATTTAAAAGAAAAATGTGAAGTGGTATGCAGATCTATATATCTTGATTGTGCTCTTGTTAGATTGGTAAATACTGTATTTTAAGAGGGCAGAGCTTAATCTTGCCCTTCCCTTTTGTCATTGCAAGTGTTTGCAGATTTCCACATTTTCCCAATTAGTCACCTTGTACCTTGGGACCAAACCATATGGTATACACTTATTTTCCTTTTCCATTGTTTGTCTACTCATGGAGAATTGTCATTTGTTTTCAGTTACTTTTTCCTCCATTCCCCCCTCCTCACCCCAAATTAAATAGTCCTTATAGCAAGATACAAATGTTCACTTTGTATTTTATCTTTTGGAAACAAATGCATTATTTTAAAATCCTCAGGGAGATGCTGCTATGCAAAATGACGACGTAAATAGCATTATGTTTCTACTGCAGTAGCAATCTTGTGATCACATCAGGGGGGAAAAAAACAGGTTCAACATCTCTAGAGTGAGGTGGAGTGCTATTTTTAGCCACATCTGTTCATCTTTGAAATCCTATGGTCAGAGTTTTAGCAGAGAAGTCTATCAATGAGCACTATTTCCAGATCATATCTCTTTATTGTAAAGGCTTGTTTTTTTTACTGCTAGTAAAAATAATCCAAGATTTTGAAGGATATTGACAAAGATGAACTGCCATAAATATTTATACTCTATGTGTTTATCAGTAGCTTGTTAATGGAATATCTTAGAAATTGTAAAATCCAGTGCTATGCTAGCAGTTGCCTGAATGCCCAATAGGAATTTCATTGAATCTCATTCTTGCTGAAGGTTGCAGTGCTTGGATTAGGAGATAGCTAAAACATAAATCACTTGATAGGGTATGCTCTGCCCACAAACGTTTTACAAGAGCTTGTTAACTTATTAGAACAGCAGAAACAAACAAAATACAGCACTTGAAAATCTAATGTCCAGATACAACCAAAGTATGAAATATTTGATTAAGCTATACAATGATGATGAGCCATCAAGTTGACTCTTAGCAGCCACATAGGTAGATTTTCTCCAGGATGACCTGTCCCCAACCTGGTCTTCCAGTGATGTACCTATTACCACTATAATTGAGTCAACCGTATATTTTTATAGTGCTTGTACTGTATAGGCATGACATTCAACTTGGTAATAGACAGAATATAAAAGTCAAGTATCAGATGTAAAACAACACCACAACTTGTGAAAAATGCATAGTGAAAAGAAACATACTAGAAAATAAATTAAGTATTCAGTTATTGAGTTTTAAGCCACGATGAGCCATCCAGAGTTAAAATAGAAACTAGTCATCAGTGTATTTGTTCTAGCACCAGGTATAGGATTTGATGAGACTCAGTAGATTATAACTAAGATTACAGTCTTGTATCTGCCTAAGCTACAGATGAAGGGATAAGTAAACCCAGAATGGAAGACCGGCATATGGGCATGTGATAGGGGTCTTCCTGAATCATGCATTTTGCTAGATTGTTGTTGTTGTTCAGTCATTAAGTCATGTCCGACTCTTTGTGACCCT